CCTAAAAGTATACTTAAATATTAAAGAGAACAGAGCAGAGAAGCAGAGTTGGGAAAAGTTTAAAAAACATTAAAACGCATTTAGCAGGCTGTTCGGGAGGGGTGGTGGCAGGCTGTTATGTACAAAACCGAATCTGTTTGCCCGCCTATAAATACTTATTATCGCTTATTTGAACTTGTGAATGCTGCCAGCAGCGATGCTTGTGATTTACTTTTATTTCGGCTCGGTTTTTCCTCCCTATTTTTCCTTCCTTTTTGTGCGTGAGATGTATCTCTGTGTGTGTGCGTGTGTGTGTATGGTGAAAAATCGATTTTTATTTCGTCTCTTGCAAAAAAAAAAAGGTCAAAAACAATAAAAGCCTAAATACACATACGAGCCTTTGAACTGGCTTTGATAAAAGCAAGAAGACTCGGCCCAAAAGCGGAGTGGCAGCGACTGGGGGGTAAGCCTCCAATCAATGGCTATGCGTCGCTTTTGGTACGTGTGAATTTAAGCTGATTAAAGAATTGAGCCTCCCTCCCGACCACCGACCACCGACCATCGACCGCCGACCATCCCACTGGAGCAGCGGAGAAGTGAATGAATAGCGAGAGAATGGAAGAGCAAAGAAAAACGCAGAAAGGCAGAAATTGATGTCTGCTTTTAGGCGTACGCGTAGATGCGGCTGCTGTTGCTGCTGCTGCTGCTGCTGCTGGATGGGCTTTATTTATGCCTTTTGTCTGGCCTCAGAGGCTTTGTTATTTGGGGGCTTAGCGGTGAATATCCTGGCCTACGCATTCGCATTCGCCTTGCCTTGCCCTGCCCTGCTTGGCGTCTCTTTTAATTTGCACTCCCCCAAACAAACTTCAAGCCACCAAATCTCCAAGCAAGGGGGGAGCACATGTGGGACAGATAAAAGGAGTCGCTGCTGAAGCCAATCATCATTGGCAGTCAATCTATATTACAAATTCAATTGAATTTGTCGCCCTTTATTTGTATTAATCAAATTGTATGGCATTCTTTCCAAGCTGCCATAAAAATGTTGACACTAATAAGGTCGCAGCAGCAGCAGCAGCAGCAGCAGCGAGCTGGAGCAGGTAGAGTGGAATGTGTCGCTAACTTTATGTCGAAATGAAATGAAATTTGGTAGCGGGGCTGAGTGCCCGCCCAAAAGTAGGCAACACAAATTGCCAGCGAACACAATTCAAATGCGTAATCAGGCGAAAGAAGCAGCGTGCAGGGCAGGGCAGGGCAGACAGGGGGCTGCGAACGAAATGAGAAAAGTTTTTTTTCGGGGCCAACGCTGCCTGCGTATTATTATTATTATTAGTTTTTCGCCCTAAAACTTTTGCCAGCCTGATTATTAGCAGGGGATGTGCTTCCCTTTCATAGCTCATTGCTTTTCAATTTGATGAGACGTTGTCTATAATGAGCTCGTCGAAAGTTTTCTGCTCCGGAATTTTCCACATATGCGCCTTCAGTTTTCTTTAAGGTTCTGCTCTACACTCTCCCTCTCCCTCTCTATCTCTCTCTCTGTCTCTCTCTCGTTGGGATTCGGGAGCGGCTGCTTTGTTAATTTTCGTTTGTCATTTATCATGAGGTGAAAGATTCGAGGAAATTTTTATGGAGTTGATTTTTAATCTTTTGCAATCATTTCTGTAGCAGCGCTTCCCTTTCGGAGTATATTCCCCTGCGGCACCACAAGGAGGAAATGAATATTTATAAGTATGATGAATGAGGCGAGAAGGGAAGACGGGAAGCCGGGCAGCAGGGCAGCGACGGCATCTGATTTACTGACGTGTGACAAGGAGTCAAGCGAGGACACAGCCCGACTGGGATAAAGGTAAGGAAATTAATGCGTAGTTAGAAATATAAATCTGTGTGAGAGTGTTTGGCTGTATATATATGTATGTGTGTGTGTGTGTGTGTGAAGGTATGTGTAAAAGTGTTCGTGAGGAAATGGCGGGGATTTCACAATTTATGTTTGTATGCTACATACAGAGAGGGAAGCACGGTTACAGGCCATAGCCAAGCAGATCTACCTTGCTCACGGGTCGTATGAGTGATATTAATTTGACTTTAAGTCGCAGGGAAAAAGCAGAGCCACAGCTAACGTAACACGTCAACGTAAACGTAAGCGAACGTATGCAATTTACGTGACATCATTACGTGTCAGACAAGTACAAATTACGCGTGAAAGCGAAAAAGAGATAGATGGAGAGTGCGAGAGAGAGAGAGAGAAAGGGCAGACAGACGACAATATGAGTTTGATAATGATGAGGCATGGGATGGATGGATGTGTGTGTATGTGTGTGAGGCGGAGGAATATCAAGATAAATAACTAAGCAAGGGATGTATGTCTGGGTGTGTGTGTGTGTGTGGCAATCATCAGACTCAGATATGGCACAGAAGATTGCAAATGCGGCAAACGTTGTCAGGACGTCAGAAGGACCAAGGACCAGGGACAACGGCTGAAAGACAACGGCAACAATTTGTGCTCACAGTTCTCAGGGCTTGGGTTTGGGTTTCAGTTTGGGTTTTTGGTCAAAGCATAGACATGTCAACAAAGTCCTCCTACATGCCCATTCTGTAAGTTAAAATTGATGAAGTTTCAGGCAGATTGAAGGCAGGGGATAGAGCCCAAAAAGGAGAACAGTATGAGCAGGGTTTGCCCCAGCCCCTAAATGATCTCTGCCCCACGCACTTGTCAACAGTAAAAAATGTATTCATACCCCTCGCCCACACCACGCCACGCCACGCCACACCACACTCATTCACATTTCAGGCTTGATTTGAGTTTAAATAAATTAAACTTCTTTGTGCGGCTGAAAAATGCAAATGTCAGCGGGTGAAGCTTGCAGCAGCAGCAGCCTGCAGGATATCAGGACCTCTCTCGACCAAGCAATTAAACTTGTCCTTGTCTAATTGCATTTTGGCCTAAACCCAAAGCCAAAGATCCCTCCTGCCACACACACACACACACACAAGCAGGCCAAGTCAAAAGTCTCAGCCAAGGGGAGTTGGAGAAAGCAAAGGGCTCGGGTGCAGAGTTGCCAAGTACGTTGCTGATAGGGGGGCCCACAAAAGTTTAGCGCTTTAATTTCTTAGAAATTTGTTCCCACTCGAGTGATGAAGACGGGGGTGGGGCCTGGGGTGGGACGACGAGCCGCCAACAAAGCAACAAACAAAAATGTCGACTTGATTGCGTCGTTGATGGTTTGGTCCTCGTTCTAGCCCAGCTTCTAGTCCAGGTCCAGGTTCAGGTCCACAATTGTGCGGACAGATTGCCAGCAAGTTGCCAGAGCGGAGTTCAGTTGCTTGTGCAGCTTGAAGTTTCCAATCCCCAGCGGATTAAGAAAGTTTAAATTGTTGCCGCCGAGCCAGCCAGCGACAGAGTCAGAGACAGAGAGAGAGAGAGAGAGAGAGCCAAAGAACGAAAGCAAAGCGAAATCGAAGCAGCCAAAAGAATGAATGAATGAATGAATAAAGAAAGGAGCAACGTAACGATTAGTGCTTTCATGTCCTTTGGCAAAGTTTAAAGGTCATCCGGAGGAGGGCCCAGCTCAGCTCAGCGCAACTGGCTGGCTGGCATCCTTCGCTCTGCGTTCGCTCTGCGTTCGCTCAACGTTCGTTGGCTGCTGATTTGACACATCAACTTTGTCAAGGTTCTTGCCACAGAGCCACCAGGCAACGGAAACAGCGACTGCGACAGCGACAGCGACTGTTATGAGCAATGGCTGTGTCTGCCCCACCCAGCGACACAGCCACTCGTCTCTCGCAGAGACTGTGTCGCTGCCTGTGAGTGTGTGCACAAGCAATTTGTGCAATGGACATTTTGGGCGCTGCTCCCGGTTCTCACTGCTCTGCGCTGCGCTGCTCTGCTTTGCTCTGCTGTGATAAGCGATGCCAGCTGCAAAATGTCTTAAAAGATTGCAGAGTGCACTGACTCCGGCGACTCCAAACCAACTTGTGGATGGATTCTGGGCCCCGGGGCAGCCCGAGAGTTGATTGCGAAATGTGTAGCATACTTTTGTGCGATTGCACCTCTGCCAGGGACAGGGCAGAAAGTATAATGAGCAGGGGTTTAGCCGAGTGCTAAGCTCTCACCCCAAGTAAGAGGTGAGGGGGTAGGGGCGGGAGAAATATTGAAATTACTTTTGAAAGCCCGGCTGCATAATGAGCCTGTCAATAAGTTTATCAAAGCAACAACTACTCGGGCAGCGGCAGCTGACCCAAAAACAAAGTTGAAGTGCTGTGTAAATTATGCAAATCTTTATCATTCTTTTTACCATCCCAACGGTTGGTGTGGTGTGCTGTGGTGTGGTGGGGCGATGACGAATTCTGGAGGGGTTCCTGGGTCGATGGGCTGTCACAAACAAGCGTGAAACACGACAACTGTGTGAGGGAGGGAACCCGGTAAAAACAATATGGCGCCCTGGCCAGCTTCGGCCTGCCGCTCACCCCTCACCGCTCACGGGTCGGGTCGCCGGCTCCTGTGTGTACCGGCCTGACTGCCATTGACAGTCGAACGTTGTTTTGCTATACGCTTTTCCCATTTTCTCTACCATTTCCAAGTATTTTTTTTCGAGCTTCTCTTTTTTTCTGCTGTTTTTTCTTTTCTTTCTTTTTTGTATTTTTCTGAAATGTCAAATTTTTGCAGACAGTTTTGACAGTTTATCGAAGTGCGCTCGTAATTTCTGCTGACGTGTGTTGTAGGTGTTGAAAATATAGAATAAAACAGGGTGAGAGAGAGGGAGAGAGAGGAAGAACGGGCGCTGGCACACACTTAGATGCGGGCTACAAAACTTTTGCTGGCTCTGCACTTTTTGGCCGACTACTTTGGCACAGAAACTTTTACCCAAAGCGAAAGACGGGTCAAGTTTTTTTTGTAATTATTTGTTTGGGTCACCTATGGAGAGACTTGATTGATTTTTCTAGCCATGGGGAGTCCACACTTATGTAAGGTAAACTATGGAAAATATATATGATATATAAAGATAATGCAGATTTTGATTACTTACCGCTGCGACTTTCATTTTCAGCTGGCTTCAGCTGTAAAGCACGGTTCATCTGGAAGGAAAGTGAAGCAGAGAGAAAATATCGAAGTTAATATCGTATTGGGATTGCGATTTCGATGAGTTTCAGATTATGCGATAATTATACGGGCAGACGATGCTATTTGTACTGGTTACCCCTCAAATTCAATCAACATACTGTGGGGCGGCGGAATAGAACCTCTTCATAAACACCTCCAAAAACACATTTGACCAGCGAAGCATTTTCAAGCATTTAAATGGCACTCAATATGCAAGCCCATCTCCTGTCATGTCCTGTCTCTCGCTCTGCCCCACTCTCTCTCTATCTCTCTCTCTCTGTGGCTCTCTCTCCTCTGCACATTTGCGCTCATTGCCTTTTACCCACGACTGGGCAGCCACATCCTGTGCCGCTTCATGCATCATTAAAGCTTAAATCTCACCCAAGCGACCCATGTCGATTCTGGCCAGCCAACACTTAACGTTCTCCTCCCTCGTCCACTCGTCCACTCATCCACTCATCCGCTCTGCTCTGCTCTCTCTTTCTCTCGCTCTGCTCATTCCCTCTGCTGTTGGTAGTGGGATCTGGGACTGGGTCTGGGTTTGGGTCTGAAACTGGGCCTGGGTTTGGGTTTGGGACTGGGACAGGGCTACGTGTTGTGGTCACCTTTCGGTTTATGGCAAATGAGTAATATTGCCATGCCGGAGCACGAAAAATCCCATTAAAAGACGTTCAAATGAAATGCATTAAAATAAAACTTAATTGAGGGCTTTATACCGACTCTTCGAATCGAGTGTCCACCCGCCTCCAACGCTCCAACGAAAACCGCAAAAACCCAAGCAAATCAATAACCAAAAAAAGGTGGGGATACCACAACGGCTCTCCTCTCTTCCTCTCTGCCTTTCGCAGGTGTAATTTATTTGCACCGCACACAGATGCAAAAGGGGGCGGCTCTGGCAACGCCCCTGGGCTTCCTGGCCTTAGATTGGCTCATCAACAGTGGGCCCAGGGCAAGTTGGGGGCAAGGCGAGGTCCTGGGCTCCAGGAACTGTGCCTGGGCCTGGGCCTTTGCCTCTGCCTGTCATTAGCCGCATGGAAGTCTGTCGTCTCATCGCCTGACGCTTGTCGCATGAATATTTTATAATCAGCCATTAGTTTGCGGCAATTGAAAATGATTGAAGCTTTTAACTGCAAAATTCAATTGCTTTATATAACCGTGGGGGTAGTGGCTGGCAGAGCGGAGAGCCAGAGCCCTTCTCGTATTATGAAATATTTAATGTCATAGTCGGGTCGGTTCTGCCCTTCAGTGTGTGTTTGTGTGTGTGTGTATGTGTGTGTGTTTTTTTTGGAACAATCCATTAGTCGGAGGCAAGTAATTAAAATTGCGATTTATGCACGCGCATGGAACCGAAATTTTGGGGCCTCTCCTCGGCTCTTGTTTGTAATTCAATTATGTTAATGATTGGACAACATTTACCGTATTTACATTAATGCATAATGAATGAGTGCAGCAGTTCCCCGCGAGGACATGGAGACGAGGAGTATGGATGGACCAGCAGACAGTGCGCCTAAATGCAGGCTGCACTTTATTTTTGGCTGGTTGATTTTTTAATCGTAACTCCATCGGAGTCCCCCCACTAAACAGGGCGGTGGCACGGCAATTAAGTGCATTTCACTGTCTGACCAAAGGCATGCCGAACCACTCCCATCCCAACACCCCCTCCATTCCACACACTTTTCTGTTTCACATCCCCTCTCGCCATTTCCCACTTCATCACTCTTGGCCAGACAACACACAAATGCGCTTTTGCCTTACTCAAAGCTCAGCTGGATAAATTAAGTGGTCGATGAACTGAAGCCTTGTGGATTTTATATACAGGCGATGTCGACGGCAGCAGCACCATGTTGTTGACAGTGATGCGGGGGGCAGGCACAGAGAGTGAGACAGAGAGAGCGAGAGAGATAGAGAGTGGATAGTGGAGTGGAGTGGAAGGGTGGGTGGGTGGTCGGGTGACGCCGCAAAATTTAAACCAATGTTTAACCGAAAAATGTTCATTTAGTCGCACGTTCTCCTCTCCTGGGGGATGGCCCCAGCTCTGGCTGCTCTGGCTGCTCTGGCTGCTTCTGATGCTCCTGATGCTCCTGATGCTGATGAATGATTGATGTGTCGTGGTTTAATAAATTGGAAAATGTTTTCAGCACAAGTAATGCTCGGAGCAGCATCTCAAAGAAGGAGGAGCCAAAGAGCATGCAGGCAGGCTGCTTGCTATCCATTATCTGCGCTGAAAAGCCCGCAGCAGCAGCTAGCCCTGGAAAATCCAACAAACACAACAGAAATCAGTGCAACAGCAAAAGCTGAACTGGCAGGCGGCAGGCAGGCAGCAGGCAGCATTCAATGATGTCCCGCTTTGCCTTTTGGCTAATGAACTGCTGGCAATTTATGGAAGAATTTCCTGGAAAATTGAGGCACCAAGTCAAAGCATTCTCTGGCAGCCACATGAGTGCCGAGTGCTTTCACTGCACTTCTCTGAGTTCTTCTGAGTACGCTGAAACTTTTCGTTTATTTTTTTTTTTTTGACTGCCCTTCTAAGGCCTCTCTCTCTCGCTCTGTATCTGCACAAAAGGCTGGCTAATTATTACCGCCAGCAAGAGCAAGACCAAGAGCAAGGATTGCCACTGCCGCCGCCAACCTTCTTTGGCCGTGTAATTAGCGCACATAATTTGAAATTTAAATGTTGCCAAAAGCCGAACGAAGCCTTTGAGAGTCAAAATGTTAATTAAATCTTTCTCTCTTTTTTTTTGGTCATTCTCTCTGCTGTTGGTGGGGGTGGTGGTGTGTGCTGCAGGAGGAATCAAAAGATGCCTGCCTCGACACAATTACCCTTGGCAATTGCTTATGACAAAGTGTCTGTGTGGGGGTTGGGTTTGGTGCTTGGTGCTTGGTGTTCGGGGTTTGGAGGGGGAATGAGATACTGCAGCCACAGTTGAGAGTCGACAGGCGCCAGTGGCAACGTTAAACCGCAAATTTTAGCGCCCCAGCATGTCCGAGAGAGGGCCAGTGGGCCACTGGCTAGCCGCAGTGTCGCCGCCTACGCATATGCAATGGCCAAAAGTGCCAACTTGGCCAAGTGCTGTGTGTACTGTGTGTGCTGTGTGTTGCTCTCCGTCCTTGTCTGCCTGCGTTGGGTGCATGGACCCATAAACTGCGTTAGTTTATGATGCCAGAGCGCTAAGTGAGCAGAGCGAAGTGCGCTGAGACAGCAAGCGGATGGGACACTGCCTGGCTGACTGGGAGATCCCACCCATATCCAGTCAAGCCGTAAGTGCCCATCCCTTCCCCCTCTATGCAATTAGAATGCGGCGCATTGAACCAGTCCAAAGCCGAAGCTTTCCGCTCTCTTCTGGTCTGCTCTGTTCTGGTCATTCCTGTGATGTTCTTGTTGTTCTGTTTCTGTTTCTGTTCCTGTTCTGCTCTGTTCTGTTCTGTTCTGGTTTCCCTGCATTCGCTAGTCGAACTCCATAAAACGGAACAACGAAAATGCAATTAAAACTACGTTTTATGGCTTTGTTATGGCAGCAGTCAGCCTCCACTAACCTCCACTGCCCCCCTCTACCAAAGCGAACCACATGAAGAGCTATTTTTATTATGCTTTCTCCACTCGGCCAGAGACGACGACTACAACGACGACGACGACTACGAGGATGATGATGATAGTTTGGAAAATGGTTTCGAATTGAGTGGGTTCCCCGGCAAGTTTTGTTGATAGAAAAGTAATATTTTATGGGGCTAGCCGGAGGGTGAGAGAGTGTGGGCGAGTGGGATAACTCTGCTTATTGAAAAACGCAGCTTCGCTTTGCTTCTTCTCTAACAAAAATCATCAAAGTTTTATGCAAAAGTTTTTCCGATTTTTTTTTTTTTTGCTCTCTCTCTCTTGCGGCATACAGATACGGGTAGTCGGCGCACTGCGAGATACGCTGCTCAAATTTGTCACTGGCAAAGCACCTAAAAGTAGACAATGTTGCCTCAAGCATCTGTCATGTGTGTTGGTGTGTGTGTTGCTGGTACAAGGGAGTGGCAGCAAAGGGAGCTTTCTGCGATAGAGGTAAAAGCAAAACAAACTAACGAGCAAGCAAGCAAAACAAAAGCTTGTAGCTCCAGCTCCTTTTCCTGCTGCTGCTGTTGCTGCTGCTGCTGCTCTGAGGCTGCTCTGTGCTCCTTCGCCAACAACCTGCCATAACTGCAGCTTAATCAAAAGTTTTTCACTGCTTCCAGAGCCCAGGCAGAGAGCCTCAGCTCCAGCTGCAGTTACAGCACTAGTTCCAGCTTCAGCTTCAGCTGGAGGGCAAACAACCAACCGCAACTGTAGCATCCATACTGCCAGCCACACCCACACCCACACCCTGCACTTCCCCTTTTTTGATACTAATCAGTGGCTGTTTCTTCCATTTTTTATGTTGTCTGGGCTCCACGCTCTCAATGGGAAATATCTATATTCTTTATGTATCTGTGATGTATGAAATATGGCATCTGTACATATATAATGGTCCGCTCTGCGGATGGGTCTGTGGGAGTTTGCAATTAGCAAGTGGCAATTAAAGTTGGTCGGAGTCTGGCATTGAACCCACACGACGACGAGCAGGCAGTGAGCAGCCGGTAGCCGGCAGCCAGTGGCAGGCGTGGGGTAGGTGGAATGTTTATTGGTTCATATATGTATATATATATATTATCGAGGGCCAGACAACAGATTGGCCAGCACGAGAGCTGTTAACCAACGGCAATGGGCAAATGAAAAAAGAGTCCATTAAAAACGTCGAATCTTTCGTTAGAAGAGTTCTTAGCTCCAGAACCAGCCCCAGCTCCAGCTCCAGCCTCAGCTCCAGTCCCAAGCTTAAGCCAGGAGACCAATGCCACACACCTGCCCCCACCTGGGCGACCCAACTCAAAGCGTATTTCATTCAAGACACGACACTTGACTGTCGTATGACACTTGAGTTCCTGCTCCTGTCCGTCAGCTGCGGTTCACCCTCCCCCGTCC